ATTGCCATAAAATGTAGTGCTCTCTCAAAGGTATTGTCATACAATATAGTGCTCCCTTAAAGGTATTGTCATACAATACAGTGCTCTCTCAAAGGTATTGTCATAGTGCTCTCTCAAAGGTATTGCCATAAAATGTAGTGCTCTCTCAAAGGTATTGTCATATTGCTCTCTCAAAGGTACTGTCATAGTGCTCTCGCAAAGGTATTGTCATAGTGCTCTCTCAAAGGTATTGCTATACAATGTAGTGCTCTCTCAAACGTATTGTCATACAATAAAGTGCTCTCTCAAAGGTATTGTCATATTGCTCTTTCAAAGTTAATTGCCATAGTGCCCTCTCAAAGGTATTGTCATAGTGCTCTCTCAAAGGTATTGCATTACAATTTAGTGCATATCATTTAGTGCAGAAACCTTCCACTAAAAACCAGGATTAACAGTTAACATAATTATGTAATAAGTCGGTGAAACGACAATAAGTGTACAGTAAGGATATACGCACCACTTCCTGAAACTGTAAACTTTGCATTGATTTTTTTCCGGCATAACATTTGCCTTTATGCTGTAATCATTTCTAGAAAAAAATTTACCTTGCGAAATTGTTATCAAAACAAGAAAATAACAAAAAGTATAATAATAAATGTATATTCATGTCCTGAGAGTAAAAAACTGAGTGTAAAAACTGAGTGTAAAGATGCAATAGGGCCAGAACAACGCATTGCACTGTTAACAAAGAATAATTTAATATATATTACAAGGAAACGTATGTAAATACCGGTTTGTATGCTGTAATTAACATTTTTTCATTTTCCTTCATGCCACATTTCCTGGAGGCATCACTTGTAAAATAAACTTTCAAATGAACAATAGAATATATAATATTGCAAAGAATATGAAACAGCAAACGTTTGTAAGCAATGAATATCTTAACGGATGAACTGTGGTGTTGTTATAAGCATTGATATTTCTGACAAGCGTCATAAAGACCAACAATGGGCTTTATTAAGTATGTCAGCAATAGCAATTTAGTGGTCACCTGAGCGAAAGGCTCTACAGTATCGCACCATATAAATGTATCGCATTCTCTGTGGGGTTCAATGACATGATGTTGAGCAAACGCGGATATTGCGTGCGGACCTTTGGCATTACATAACTTGGCATTAACTATACTATATCACTGAGAACACTGTTAAAGGGTAATGGGTTCCAACCAGTTAAACGATATGTCTACCATTTTCAATATTGTAAAATACTAAATCATCATTTGTTACGATGATTTATATAGATTTACCATTGTTCAAAATGAAATTTGAAAATCTGAAAAAGACAAAAAGAAATTTGAATATCTGAAAAAAGACAAAATGAGAAAGAAATGCCGAGTAGAACTCGGGACCTTTTTTACTATAATGACTTCACTATTTTCAGCGAGAATAAATGAATCAGTTGTTTTAGCTAAAGGGTCTCGTGGGTTTGGACCCCCGATGTAATTACATTTTTCTACCAATAACAATTCATCACAGATACCAAACAGGTGTTTTAATTAATATCTGGAAAAAAATACTTATAATATAATCAAATCAAATAGAGTACCCTAATAAATGTGTAATTTTTTTGATCACGATTAACACCTCAATTTGAACCTCGCAGCCTTGAAATAATCAATGTCTTAGTGATATCCGTGTTCTTTTGTTCACCGACTTGTGTATATATGAAATAACATGTCAACGATTTTTTATTTGCAAGGTTATTAACCCAAACATCTTTCTCTAAGCAAATAATAGGTGAAACTGATATTCAGGCTTACCGTATCATTATTTATCACAGAAAAAGAGAACCTATTGTAGCCTCGGGGTATGTGCTGGGCGTTATTGATGTCGTTGTTCCTGTTGTAACGTTGCGTGGTCGAATCTTGGTTCTGATTTTATCCCTGTGTGTAGATGTTGTAGGGATGGTCTAACCTTCTCTACAGCCGGGCTCCTTCAGGCATGGTCTCCTATAAAGGTTTTCCTATGATGATATCGATATGTCTATGTGTAAAACACTTAACATCAAAACTAAAATAACCGCGATATGGATTAACTCTTGTTACTCATACCAGTGCAGATAACAGAATAATTCACAATGTTACAAATGAAAACGTTTACGATAACAAAATCTAAGGGACTCCCAAAAAGATAAGTGCAATAGTTTACTACCAAGACAATAGTAAAGCGTATCGTTGATTCCTCTATTTAACGGACTAATTTGTGATCTCTATATGTTTGGAAACCAAATAAATAAAAGGAAATAAATACATTAATGACTAAATATGTAAACTAAAGATTGCAAACAAGTTAACTAAGCAATACACTTGTCAGGCAAGAATAAACTAATTTTATCAAACTAGCTACCTAAAATTCAAACAAATTAGTTAAAGGATTAAATAAGTTATCAAAACGGTATACACATGTTTACCAAACATTTAACAAGTTATTCAAACATGAAACGAAAATAACGTAAGTACATTGATGCCAGGATATTGATATCAATTAAGATTCAGAACATATTTAACCTATTTATGACCATAACGGTGTATTTATGCTTGAATTAACCAATAAATCTTCATCTTAGACTATACCATCTTTACCCTTGTCATAAGTATCTACATAGGCTTACCTTAAAATCACATTAACCTCACATACATTTAGTTTAAACAGAAACCATTGTCAGTTTGATATCATTTCCAAACTTTTATTGAGATGCATTACTTGTACAACTGTATGAAGAATAAAATATCAAGTGGTGCATTTAGTTTACGGATGCAACTATTCTGCTCATAAAAATGTAAGTGTTGTAAGCATATGTTGAAGTGAATGTGACATACGTCGTTCCAATTGGGCATGTTCTTATGCTAACCAGTTGAGGCAGATTTTAGGATGAAGTGAAAAATATTTATAGTTACACGTAGTTCATAATTATTGTGATTTATCACGTAGTTAACACATCCACTGTATGAGTTCAAAAGTACAAACAGTATATTACGATTTAATGGAACCAGTTTCAGCTGGCAAATATGATAGGAAAGCTCGTAACACTTAGGATTTACGTTGATGAAGTCGTAATGAGGATATCGTCAACCTGTATGATAAAGTAATGATTACACATTTATATAACGATGACATCTATTTTTAGTACTTTATAGGTTCAGACGTACATATTAACGATTTAATTAATATGATAGTAACACTAATTACAGAATGATTTAAGACATGATTAACGTTGATGATGTTATAATGAAGAGTCCATTAAATTTGTATAATAATGTAATAACTACAGATATATTTCCACTGTATGAGGTCGAAGTTCATAAAACGATTTAATTGAATAATGATGTCAAAATTCATAATGGGTTAATGATATGAAATGCTGATATAAATAATAATTAAATGATGCTATTTCAATCCGAATTGATTGATTATAGAGGAAAGGCGTTATACAATTGATCCTAATGATCTGTGTATAAGTTAAAAGGGGAAATACTGACTTACCAGCAAACTAACTTTTCCAACGATTTGGTATAATCCAAACTCACTATAAGTTCGGCAACAATGGTTAGTGGCCGGATGGGTGCCCTCTTGCAAATTAAATATGTTGGTTCGGTAATACATGCACAGAGATATTATGACGAGACGAATCTTAAAAACTTCATAAACAGTATTGCTTAAAGGTAACGCCACAGCTTGTTACCTTTTTTAATTTTATCGATATATATATATATACCTTTTCAAACTAGTAATGAGAATTATTCCATTACGTCACAATTATACTTTTAGTGTTTTCTTTTATGGAAATCTAGCGATTTTTATGTTCTGTGATACAAATAATAATATGAAGATGAAAAACCACGCGAAAATTAATGTTTAATTGTTCTCTCCAGTTGTTGAAAATACATATATTTGACTTAATGAATGTAACCAGTTATGTAAATCTTTCCATCTAAACTTTACAAAGATCATTGCGTAGGTGCAGCAACTGAATCTATCACTCATCTGTGAGTTAAAATTGAAGACTAATACGAGAATTTGCAGAGTTCTAAACTTCAAAAAAAATATCCCAAGAGTTGAAATTTCTGTCTTCATCACTATGAAATAATTGATCATTTTCTCTCAGAATTTCCTAGCGTAAATGGCGCGATGGTAACAATGTGAGAATAATAGCGCTTGTGATCTGTCTTTTTCATACGAAGGTAAAGATAGGGTTTTCTCTCATTTCCCTGTGTGTAAGAAAGAGCTGTCCAGGGTACCGTATCACAAACAGGGTGTAACTTACACCCGGTTTGTGAAACGGTACCCAGGATAAGTACGAAGTTTAGGAAAGGTCTATCTTACGCCCGATTTCACGTGACATGACGTCACAATGGTTCAACAATGACGTGACGATCCGATGGCGCCATGCGGAAAAGGCGACGTGATGATTTAAAACCTTTTACAATATATTTACCGTAAACGTTAGAAAGTTGTGATTAATTTTTCTGAGCAAACATTGTTTGCAAATATGGGATATACTTAATCTGGCTGGCTGATTCGTTTTCGTCTTAAAAGCTCGGGAGAAAAAATGATATTTTCAAAATGGTGGCCAGTCCAAACGCATTTCATGGGCTTATTCTGGTGGTTGGATTGAGAGAAAAATATAAGACTCGGGATTTTCAAATTTGGCAAAACCCTCGGCAAAGCCTAGGGTTTTACCAAATTTGGAAACCCCTCGGGTGGAATTTCCCTATCTTACACCCCTGGGCATGAAAGAGTCTTATAATCTATGCCCTTGAAAAAGTGAGAATGTACATGTGCATACTGGGAGAAACATTCATAGCATTCTCTGAAATGTCATTTGATACATTTCTATGGTAATATAATTGTTTTTTTACGGTTTCACATACGATGTCACTATTTGACTGAATGCAATCCTTGTTTCAAATATTGATATTATATACGATATCATTATTAATCTATACCGATTTCCTTTTACAGATTTTAATACTACATACGACAGCGTGGCTGTAGACCCTATCTCACGTACTAGCCGGATACCAAATATTTACCAGGTTTGTAGAAACGAAAGCATGAATTAAGATTTCTGACCGAAACATAATCATCGGCAATACATAACATCACAAAAACTGTCTGATACACTAACCATAATGCCGTTGTTCTAGTTAAGTTGATTCAAATATCACATGGACTTTAAAAACATCTATGGAAAAATAAAAGAGTATTAGTATTAAAAAAGGTATTGGTACAGACCTAACTTTAAGTCGGTGTGTTTTTTAGATCATTTTCGCTAGCTCTAACTTCCCGTTTTTCTTACAGGCATCAGATGACCCTGTTGCTGACCGATTTCTACAAAGAAACACAGTCTTGCGTGATGGGTGCCAAACCCTAAAACAATACTACGCTGTACAGGACTCGGAGGCTGCAGTAAAGGAGCACTTGGTTGTAGACAGTAAGAACAGGATCACATATTGTGCCATTGAAAAGATTGGCTGCACATTTTGGAAGAGAGTGTTTCAAATTCTCAGCGGATGGCAAAATGTGACAGACCCTTTTCGTATCAAGGGTATCCATGCATACGAAGGGTATCAGACAGCCAAGCGAATGCCATTCGACAAGATTTATAATATACTTGCGCATTCTACAAAATTCATGTTTGTGCGAGAGCCATTCGAAAGGCTTCTATCAGGATATGTGGACAAACTGTACTCACCGAACGCGGCTTACTGGAATTTCATCGGTCGATATATCGTCACGAGGTTCCGGGAGAACCCATCCAATCACAGCGCAGAATGCGGGCATGATATAACGTTCCAGGAATTTGTGGAGTATTTTATATATTCCCAGAGTACTAACGAACATAGAGACGCTCATTTTGTGCCTAGTTTCGAGCACTGCAGACCTTGCGAGATAGAATACGATTACATCGGTAAAATGGAAACGTTTAAAGAAGACACTTTTCATATATTGAAGACACTTAATTTAGAAAAAATGGTGACATTTAATAATTTTCAGAATGAGACTGAAACAGACGCCATTGTAGATACCGTAGACTATGTATACTCAATGCGTCGGCCGATACAGAAATGTATGACATTGACTCAGGCCCTGTTTCGGGCATGGAGAAAATTACAAATAAGAGGCATTATTAGCAAACATATCAAATTTCCGTACCCATTAAATTATGCTGATAATATTCATCCAAATGAATTTAAAAGACAATTACTTGATGCGCATGCGCAGTCAGGAGACCCCGCAGTGCGTAAAAAGAACCGACAGGAGGCTTTCCTTGAGGCGTATAGTACTCTAACCCCTGTCACTATGGACAGGCTAAAGGAAGCTCTGTACGTGGACGCAGTTCTCTTCGGGTACGATGTTTTTCCAGAAAAACTCCAAAATATTGGCAAGAAAAAATCCAAAAATAACGGGTTTACGTATTTCAAATTGTATCCCTAATGGTATGCGTTGTTGTGATCTTTACCTTTTATATCTATGCTTACTCAATTGTTTTGATATGTTAGATTTAATTCGAAAATAATTTTCGTCACAAAATGAAACTAATCATTGTTCATGATCATCCACTGCATATAATCCTATTTGTTCATGCATATTACCAGTAAACGTAATTGATTCCGTATCTTGATATCAGTGCTGAACCCTTCCGTCGAAACGCGGTGCTTGGTATTTAAAAGATTGTAGTTCTTGAATAAAGTGTGGATGTAGATAGCGATGAAAGATTGAGAAATATTCGTAAAGGGGTGTTATGCTGATGTACTCAACTCACTTGGACCTTACAACCTTCACAAACCAGATGACGAAATTATCAAATCTGTAATACTCTCAAATTCTTATAATGTAGATATATGCTGCTTTTGTACTTCCAAAAGTGATACTTAGTGTTACTTAGAGTAAGTGTCTAGTACAGGAACTCTATAGGTCCTCTTTACTGGACTCGATCGTTGCATACTGTAACACAAAGTTTAAGGCATCTTAAATGAAAGGTAATATTGATTCAGTTAAATGTATTTACATTAAGTACCTAAGTTTGATATTAAATGATAAATGTATTTAGTAGTATGTGATGCAGTTTTGGCGAATTCAATGACTTGAATAGTGTACGACGGCACAATTTGTAACAATTATATTTTTCACAGTTTTGATTATATTTCTGCATTCTTATGAATTATTTTAGCTCAACTAACTGTATACATATCAAACAGTCTTGAACCAGCAAATTATGCAATGTTTATTATGATATTTCTCACATAACTGAAACAGAAACACTGTTTCATAATCAAATCTATATACAGTTTATTATTGGAGCAAAAGGTTCATGTCAATTATTATCCTAGAAGCCATGGTATTCAAATTCTTTGACATGATCTTACAACGTAAATTAAGTAGATGTAAACCATAGATTTTGTGATTATACATTGAAAGAGACATCGTAGTTGACATGAAAGAAACCACTCACAATCGTGGTGGGGGGGGGGGGGAATATAGGAGATACTATATTTATGTTGCATGAACGTAATCACATTTGTATTTAAAACATGCTTTTTGACAGTACTAACGTAATTGGTATCATAGTATAATTGTTACATGGCAGTGAAATGCTGCCATATTTGCCGACATTGGATACGTATTCATGCTTTAACCATTATGTTTACCTTTGTTATAACTTATGTGTAATCACTAACTACGAAAAAGCGATCAATATCACCCATGTGTGCTTTTGTCGTCATGTCGCAGAGTGATTAGGATATATGACCTAATTTTATGAAAACAATTTTGTAGTTATGATAGTTTATCACTCATATTGAAACATAAATGTTCAATGGAATGGTCACAATGAACATATTTTTATTTATGTCATCCATTTAATTGTGTATGAATGTGTATCACGAATGGATATATGTAATAATGTATCAAAAGGAACTTAATACATGCCGATAATTACGTATCTGTTTATCACACATATACATCATCATTTATGTCGCCAATTCTATGATTTACTATGAAAGTGTTTAGTTAAATACCAAAGATGTCTATTCACAAAGGATTATATTGAGATATAAATCGATAATCAAAACATGAATTGTTTGAATTACAGATGAGACAGTATGTAAAAAGAAACTTTGAATAAACAAGGTTTAAAATCGCAAAATGAGATAAATGTTTCCTTGTTCCGAATGTTCTTGAATAAATTATCGATAACTGTTCGAAACAAATCTCTCTGCAAACTAACGCAACGATAATAATATTACAATAATATTTCAGTTAACATGAAAAATCTTGAAAATTATGTATTCAAATCATTTGGTTGAAGTCAGCTGAAAAAAACCGAGCTCAATGTTCTTTTTATCACATGCTGAACAAAAACATGTAAAAGTTCACGTTTTTTATATTAAATGTTATCATCAATGTATTTGTGACTTCATCGTTTTGTTACTTATAACGTCACCGTTAGAAATATTTCTATACTGTATACATATAAAGGTAATACACATGGTACTGGTATTACAAATCATATCAGCATGAGTATATGCTAAATATATGTTATCCCTTGAAATGTACTGCAATTAAACAGGAATTAATTAACTCGTTATATTAATGTTTACCTGTAATGTCTCGCATACAAAATAGTCATGCACCTATATTTAATTGTTGGTGAGAATAGATAGGTGTGTTTATTGCAGACTTTTATGAACTTTTCTACACTCTACTTACCTAAAGTACATGATGTAAATGGCGCCAGAAATCTTGAGAATTACCTTTAAGACAAGATAGAACAGTTTCTCCTGTTGATTTATTGAGTGTCCTTAGATTGTATTGCCTCTTTAAAATTGAAGCTGTATTAATGTGTGCATGTTATCATGGACCAAATGGACATGTTAAGAGTGGACTTGAATGGTTACATTCCAAGACAAACGTATCGGTATATGGTCATATAGTCTTTATTGATTCACATACCAAGCGGTTTTGAATGCCAAAATATGTCACAATTCCTTCATCCATACTTAAGAAGTAGTGTTTTAAAGATCAACCATTATTTCTCTTTGGGCATTACATTTTTACATCATCACTTCATTTAATCAAATTCCGTAGAAACATTGAAGATTACTATACTTCTGTTTAAGTTCCTCTGCATTTATGTTTGTGTGAGTTGGGAACCTTTGATTTGCACAATCTCTAAACTTAAATTATAAAAAGGAAACATGACGGACTTAAGGACAAAGGATGGACGCAGCGCTGCGCAACGCATACAATAGATTCGATTTTAACAACCGCTGCATGCATTTTTACTTCGTTCCCTAGGAGATAACGTCGTGGTTATGTGCTCATTTCATTTCAGGGAACGCTTCTATAGAATGAAAAAACTCAGCGAAAGACAAATAACACATAAGTTAACACGTAAAGAAAACAAGAGAAACTGATGATGATGTAATTGCTAACACAGCATTTTATGGTAACCACTTACAGCGATTAATGTGTTCTTTCTTTTGGTGTCTCATGAGTGTCACTTAAACGTTTCCTTAAACTGTATCAACCAGTAAACGTCAAAACCGGCTGTGTCAAGCACAATCTCAGGATAAAAGTACAGGATGTAGTTATTTATCAAAAATGTTAAGGTGAAATGTTATTTGCAGATTATTTTTTATTATATTTAATGAAGCAACTTTGTCACCTTAGTACTGCCAGTTCATGTGTACTGCATAATATTAATGAAACTGTTTTTATCTTCCTTCAATATTACTCATTCTGACATTGGGTGTATACAATATTATAATGATAAGTCGCCTTACTTAGGTAATTAAATACAAATTCAAAATGAACACCTTGTGCTGGCAATTGAAAAACCAACGCAACTTCGGAGATACACTATATATAACGGCTGGCAAATATTACGGACTGACAGAATGAGAAATCTTTTTTTTTTAAAAAGAACTTGGGAATCTTATTTTAGCATGTACATATTTACCATGAACTAAAGGTTAAAAAATGATCATATGAACCATAAACCTCAAAACAACATTTCCAACAAACCACACACAACTTGGCTCATAAACGCAGTAAATTATAAATATGTTGTTTTTATATGAATACATTTTCAACATTTGCAACCAATAGTCGCATCGAGATCCTGGCAGTGATAATTGTAGATAGTTAATTGGAATAACTTACTAAGTATTTTCAAAACCGAAATGATCATCTAATATGGTATGGTTTCCCGGGCACGCTTTGTTGAAAGTAAACGTAAGACAAAAAGTTGGAAGCAAATGTATATTACGGCTGTTTGTCCTCTTAGAACTCATCTGTGATGTTGTGGTCGACAAAAGGTGGTAAGATTATTGATTGCATTTGATGTGTATTGAGGCAAAAATTAAAGAGTATTGATGACACAATTAAGCCGATATGCATCATATATAACAAGGTCACCGTACCTAGTTAATTGATAATATGCTAGATTTCTTTCGCTTAATTTAATTATTTGAAGATTAGCTTTATTGTAACACAATATATAAAGATTATGAAGTTTAAAAACATAACATGCAGTTTTGTCAAAAAGAGGCCATTTGTGATTTTGGTCCCCCACTCTTCGCCCAAAGAATGTATATGCAAAAAGTTATCGGTGATAGCTACCAGAAGGCCCAAACTGGTACCACTCATTTGAGTGTTACAAGCCTGAACCGGGAGGGACATGTATGTAGTGCGATGTAAAGGGACGGGTAACACTATTTGACATCATGAAATGACGGGAAGAGGAGATTAAGAAAAGGAACACAATTATCATATTCAGCCTTCAGTAAGATTTATTATTATCATAATGTGTTTTACAAAATTACAAAATAATCCCAATACTGTACACGAAAACCCATCAAAAAGTTTTATATGGTTAACTGCAATGTTATATTAAAGTTCCACACATAGGTTAACAGATGACGTTTCAATAAGTACAATGGCAAAAATATATTAACAGATGACGATTCAATAAGTACAATACCAAAAATATCAAAATCTACAATTAATAGTTTTTTAACATACATATAGCAACAATCCCCATCACATTGACTTCGTAACCGAATACAGTGCGCACTGTTGTGAGTTTATACGCACACATATCTTCTTGTTACATTATGGCTGATGCTTAATATTTAAGAATGAAACTGTATGACGGAGGGATATTTTTGGTAAAAATTCCAAATCTTATATCCGAAACCTATGCCCAATAGGTAGAAAGTCGATGAAATGAAAACATTGGATAGTGTTTTTTCGTTGACAAAAACAATCTCCTTGAAAAATTACTTTGATGCGGCGAAAGTTATACGCTTCTCCTTGGCTGACCTCTCCATTGATGTCATTAATAATACCAATTTTTTTTGTTTGCTGCGAGGTTAATGTTAAATATGTGTATAATATTCAAATTAACGGTTAATATACTCATACTTTGCCATTCCTGTGACAGCAGTAGAAGCTTCAATAATTCGTAAATAATCTGCCTTATTACATTACCACTCATTATTCCACAAGTAACGATATCTACAAAATATATGATAACGTTTGTGTCATATCAATCATTATATTTATGACGTATTACACAACTGAATTCAAATAATTTGTTAAAAAAAGTCAGCAATTTATAGGAGCAAACGATGTAAAGATATTAACCACTTAAATATGTCAGATATGCTATTTCTATGATATGAAGGTCAATGTATTTGATTATGTTCATTTGTACACTAACAGAGTTCGCGGTGTTAGGACGTGGTATTCCTTGGATTTGACTTAGATTTACATTGCGAGTGTCGTCGATTAAGCATAGGACACATTCCCTTCCGGATCGTCTGGTCTTATTTCCTTGTACTTTGCTAAGTGTCTTCAAGTTAATCTTTTTTTTTTTGTTCATATTTGGCCTAATTTTATTGATTTTGAAATCGAATTATAGTTTTGCTAACATTCAGTACTCTCTTGCTGCTTTTCCAATCTCTTGAAATGAAACGAAATTGCTGGTTTATATATTGAAGATGCATCGTAGTTTTTTAAATTATATATTTGAATAATTTGATATACATTTGTTCAACATTTTTGTCACTAGATCACGTTGGTGGAACAAAACAAGTAAATGAACGACATAGCGCTTAAACTTCGTTGAACAGAGTATCTTTCTCCGCAACCGTTCATAGCAAGTAGTCCTTACCTTTATTTCATGTTAAGACCGTGAACAAAGCGAACATAAAACCACCGTGAAATTTAAGCATAATTGTATGATGAACAAGTAAGTAGATAAAACAGTCTAACAATATATACATCTGCATGGTGAATAATGAATTGTCCCTATTGTGCACAATATCTCCAAATAATCAGAGGAGTGAACTTTACGTACTTTTTTATTTACTTTTTTAAATAATGAAGCACTTAGAAGACTGAAAACCGGTAGTTTAACAAGAGGCTATCTCTAAGGCAGTTTTGCCTCTCATAATCTCTATTTGTTCTACACAAACAAACAACTGTTGGTCTACTGTTCTTTCTAAATTACAACTGTTGTAGCTTGTGAAGTTAGTGGCGGCGACCTAAGCGATACGAACAAAAATAGATCAAAACATATTCATAAACATATAATGCAAATAAGTTATCTTCCATTCATGAATAATAACAATATCATCACAAACTATCGTTGCTTACACGTATATCACTATGAAGTAAACATTATTGTTCAGACTTTTACGCATATTGTAAAATATAACAGGAATCACGTGTTTAGGTATGCAACACGGTTTCAAAATGGATGTTTTACATATGGATAATCATCAAAATTATCACATTACTTTATGCAAACAAGATATTTACATTGTATTTATCATTGTGCCATTCATGACAGTTCAGCCCCAACAAGTGTAATTGTTTATACTTTTTTGTGGATACTTTTCCATTAGGATAACGCTTCCTTCTACATCGGGGGAATGCATAACTAATATGATATAATTTAGGATATTAGTTTCCCAACGTAAAAGCCCGGGAATGAAATGCCCATGAATCATTAAATATTTTACTTTGAATACTCTAACATGTTCCAAAGACCCTTTATCCATCGACTTCGCCAATATCTCACAATCAGAATTTCTCTAAGAGAAACATAATGAGAATGCAAAATCTTGTACTATGACTTTGAAAAATAGATAACTCAACACCGAAAAGAGGTAAGATTCGGAACAATTTCTGCCAACTGCATCAATTAAACGCGAAAAATATTGCAACCAGCCCTCTTAACTAGTACCTCAGGAGGAAATCAAAATGTATAGAATATTAATTTGTTCTCCTGTTCATTAAGTCTATATTTCACGACACAAACTTTTTACATATTATTGATTCGAATGATAAAAAGTTCAAAAGATACAATATCTATAGGATTTTATCATACTGCAAAGGTAACGGACCAACGCATAGGACCAAGATGGTCCTTTTTTAAATTTTCATATACCACTCTGACATGAATAAATTATGTAATGAAAATACCATACATTAAATTGAGAAGAAACACTTCAAGCAATTCAATATGTACAAAAAATGAATGAAGTAACATTCAAAAGAAAAATTATATAAAGTATCAGCAAAATATAGGAAAAAGTAAATCCCCCAAACAAAAATCAACAAGAAAACCGCGAAAGACTAATTCAACTTTTGAATACAAAATAGAATTGTGAGACACAAAATATTGTATAAAAGCACCAATAAACTTTAATATTAATCAACAGACAACGGCACATATACTATCATAACTTTTCGAGGATAATCTTTTGAAGGATGTATTATTTTGCAAAGGATTGCATAACGACTGAAGGAATATTCCTGATTTAGGAAGTTTTGTACCAAGATTCCATATGAAAAACCACATTAAAAAAAAACACATTTCAACAAGGTTTTGTGGAATTATTATGTTCTACTAAAAAGGGTATTGCACAAAATGCAGACGATATTTGGGTACTTCATACCGTTTTGAGACACATACGTATTATTTTTCTGCTATAAAGTCCCCGAGTTGAAAGATATGACAAAAACGTTTATTTAATTAACACTGGGGAAAAAAACAATTGCTCATCTTAAAGTAAAAGAAGGGGTTTATAAGCTTTCAGTGTTCAACTTGTATTAGTTGAAATCAGTTTCAATTAGGCTGACATCAAACGTTTTATCAGATAAGCTAATTAAAATAAGTTTGTGTCAATCGTCCAGCTCGATGGTATCTACTACTTTAAAATCAATAAACAAAGACAATTTTACCAAGTGTACTAGATGGAAAACTTGAAACTTCATATATAGCATCTGCCGTAAAGCCTTGTATTCTCTCATATTACACATACCTATTTAAATGCATAAAGACCAACACACTGGAGCAGTTCTCGTTCGTGAATTAAACTGGCGGTATTTGACATTACACAATCTTAAACGTTATACGAGATAATTCATCAATAACAGTGAAACAAATGTGATACCTGTACATCTTTTTATGATCATAAGTTTATTCTAACAGTGACAAGACACAAAACATATTATAACTTACCTGTCGTTTTAAATTGTCAAGACCTTTAACTGAGAGACAATTAACATCACATGTAACACATCAACATCGTTGCTAATGCACGCAGTAAATTATGGGGAATGTGTTTACATAAACACCGCATGCATCAATAGGTTTTTTGAAGTAATATTTCTTACGTGCAAAATAATCAACATGTCGTAACCACAGACAGGTTCATGAAATAGCCCTTTGAGATGTCTACTTTCGAAACAGAACATATCAATATGTCAGTCGTTGTAGATTTGACAGTTGAAAGACAAAAAAGCATAAAGACAAAAAAGCATGATTATTATAAAGCAAACTATTGTATGTAATAATATACAAAAATGCAATGGATGAATGTTTTAAAACGTTTTTCATCCAATATGATAAGAAGGATAATACAATGAATGTAATAACCTCCCGATAATTGTTGTTCACGCGCGGGAGGTTTAGTATAAGTGTATTTAAATGTGGACTGAACCTTTTATCGAAAATAACTTTTAATGTTGAAACTAAACATTTTATTTATAATTTTTGTGGTTTTGCCATGTACTTTATTGCAATTCATTAAATAGCGGAACTTATCGGTTGAAAAAGTTAAAACATAAAAAACATCAAAGAAATGGGTCTTCAAATCTTGTCCGATATAAAAAAAAAACTACGTTTTAGAAGCGTTAACTTATTTCTCACAATTACTGGTCATACTGACCAATATAAGGAAAATCTTGCTATTTTTTGGTCTACTAGGAACGTAATTATTAGTCATACAGTTGTGTTGGCTGACAACACAGTGACGTTAAGGCTCATTTTATGTGTTGTGCTTTGCTGTTTACACTCTCTATAATGCATTATATAATTAGGTTGAAAATCTGACCTTGCACAATTACAGCGAAATATATTTCTTGAGAATTTCAAACGATAATGTCTGGAAAACAAAATTTCACACTTTTTCTCTACTTTAAAATAAGGCATGTTCAATCTTTTTCTTTTTCTTCACATGGTTTAAACAGGTTTTAGTTGTTCATTCACTGATCAGTTCGTCTGTTTTCGCACTGTTTTACCTGCTAGTAAATGTGTTTGAGATTCAACGTTGCCATCAATATATATATACCTATGTAACTGCGAACGTTGTAGATAATCTGTGTGATAATATTACCGATGATACTATACATGGAAATAAATTGTATTCCCAAGTTCTATCCCCAAAAATATATGGGCCTAATGAGTGTATTTGATCCACAAAGCGTCACATCTAGTACAAAGCATCAATACTTCTTTTGGCCGCTATACAGGATACTACGGACTAGTTTTCCCTCAAGTTACAGCCATCCTTCATTTTCCTTTGTCCAGTACTTCTGGTGAGATAGCTTCGGGTTTTAGTCCATTTCTTATTAGTAAGGCGTTCCACCATCCTCCTGGTGTTGATACTCCTGGATCCCAGGACCACGGCTGATTCTTTTCAAGAAGGCCGCCTGGGAAAAGAAAATATATAATATTTATGAAGGGACCAGGTATTATACAATGGAACCTTGTTTATCAGACATAGGTTTTAACTAGGGAAGTCATAGTGGCTGTGAACAAGATCAGAAAAGGAGTATTCAAAATATAGTTTCAGCTGACGAGGTTTCAATGTGCTTTAATGTTTACCATGATATTAGTCATTGTTTAAAATTGTATCTATATACGTAGGAACATTGTTTGATCAGACACTACAGTTTCAGTATTAAGTTTGGAATAGCCATACACCAGAAATGTTCAATATGTATAACAGACTGAGCATCCAGAAAAAAATCTTCAAGTTATCAGAGTCCGCAATTAGAAAGTTCCGCGGTACAATCATAAATAAAAAGATATCAAACAATCTAGACCAAGATTGCAACGAGTCATGCATTGAAGTTGGTAAATCGAGGTTAATTAGCAAAAACTAGACAATGTCTTATTAGTTAAGAAAAAAGCAAATAAGTACCTGGTATACTATTTTTTGGAAGGATTTCTGTCTCTAACCTATCAAAGCTATATGGTTATATGTTGTAACAAGAGGCCCAGAGGGCCTGTATTGCTCACCTGGATGATAAAGCAACCATGGGAAAATATTCTTATTACATATAATACCGCTATTTCCAAATATTGGCTCTGTCTCTCATTAAGACTCGTCCCCCAGTAGGTCCCTCCTCTCTGCCCTCATAATTATATGGGGGTAAATTTTTAACATTAGCCTCAATTTTCCATATTGTATTATATATATATACCCGAAAGGATTAAGCCACAATCTCCGTTTATACAAAATTCAGTCCCTTTTGCCAAAGGATGCATAAGGCCAAATTTAGTCGAAATATATAAAGATATTCATGACCAAAAGCGTTTTAAAGGAAAACATACGCCGCGGTATGGCATAAGCTCACCTTCGGACCAGGTGAGTTAACAAAACAAGAGGCCCATGGGCCTTAACGGTCACCTGATATATTTATACAGAGAGTTGATTTTTGTTTTTAACATGAACAGAAATATTATTCAAAGTGACAAAAAACAATAAAACCACCTTATTCAATATCTAGCATGCAGATTTAAGACTGAAAAGTTTTTGAAACTAGCACCTCTGATTCTAAACAAGGAAAACGAAGAAATTTTATTTTAGCACACAGACTCCATTGGACCCCACCCTACAGCCCTTGGGGGTAGTGATGGCTCAAAATTTACAAAGTATCAAACTGTCAACTTAGGATTATAATTCCAATCAAGTAATCAACAAGTAATATTCAACGTATCATTTGCCATTATAAACCATAACAAATCCCCCCCCCACCTCCTTCCCCAGGGGGTTACCCCCTCCCCAGGGGGAAACGAGAGACCCCAGGGTCAAGAAATTCACAATTTTAGTAAAGCACCTTAAGACCCTTCCATCTATGAAGAGTATTTGATTCTACCATATCTTGATCTTGAGAAGAAGATTTTTGAAAGTTTAGTCAATTTTACCCTTTTGGGCCCCATCCCTCAGGCCCCTGGGGGCTGGGGACCATATAATTCACAATTTTAGTTGACCTTTGGCCATGAAAGGTTTCTGCAAAATTTCATTGAAATTGGTTAAGAGGTTTTGGAGAAGAAGTAGAAAATGTAAATTGTTTACGGGCGCACGACGGACGACGGACGACGGATGACGACGGACAAAAGGCGATCGCAATAGGTCACTTGAGACTTTGTCGCAGGTGACCTAAATAATCGGATGACATACTTCAGAAGTTTGGATAAAATTTGTGTTTTTTTAGGACAATGTACTTGCAACATCCATAACACACTGAGAAGATGTGAAAGTCATTTTAAATTTTTATTTTCCTACACGTGCTAATTGGAATGAAAGGTTAAGTTGGAAACTTTCACATGCATGACATGTATGTTAGAAAGTAAATTATATGTTTTTAGATATCGGTTTAAGAATGAAAGAAAGAAAGATAAGTAATTCATTATTATGAAAGAAACAATATTTCCTTACAACAAACATATCTCAACAAATTGCTTACTGTAGCAAAGTTGTTTTTTTATATCGTAAGGGTTTGTTAAACTTAAATTTCCACATAGCATGCAAATTCTATGAAGCGAATAAGATAAAGTTTTTAAACAAATTCAAAGTTGGAAATGTTTTTCCATGTCTAAAATTCAGAATGTGTCTAAACTACTAATACATGTATGTACTCTCTTCATGTACTTGACCAAAACTTGAGTAGCCTAAAATGATAAATATCAAATATTATTGTAAGGAATATGGATTTAAAATGACTTCCAGAAAGAAATACCTGGAACAGTCCTTACTAAAGTGTTTTGATTAATTGTATGGTAAAAAATGGTAAAAATGGTGATATTTTTCTCAAAACTCAATTCATCTTTGGCATTCAATTGAAGTCTGGGAAATACTATCTTTAAACAGGAAGTTGGTGTCACAAAAAAAGCGATCAAATTCGGAAGAATATGGTCATATGTATAGCGAGCTGTAAAGAATTAAGTTTGTGTCTGTTACAAAAGTTGAAATTGCTTTTGAAGAGTCCATAATAAAATATATAGTGAAGCCATAACGTTTACTTTCTAATGAAATTTCATCGAAAAATAAACATATTTGTGTATTCCTCGTTTAAAATGAAAAGATTCTCATATTACGCTTAGGCTTGTGCACAATCAAGAGATTTTTTTGGGTAAATTAATGAAAATATTAAAGATGTCGCTTCTATTCTCAGACTCCACCACCATTCGTGTTAAATATATTAATTAAATTTTTCAAAAAAAAAAAAAGAAAATCGTCAAAAGGAAATTCTCGGAAAAAAACGATCATGGAAGAATGAATATTTCAAGAAATCTGTTCTGGGTCTCTCAGTGTGAGTGCAGGTTAGTACCGGACTTAGCCTTGTTTCTTGGTATTAGGTATGGAGTGATTACGTCAGTCGGGAGTAGGACACATGAGAAAACCTAGGTTGAGGGGGATCGGCAGTCAGGGGAGAGGAAGGTGTGTCCTGCGAGTACAAGGCCACGGGGTACTCCCTCACCCGCGGGGCCTGGTTGTGGCTTAGAAAGGCCATCTGAAGTGAAAGATAGTACTGGTTAAACAGAGTGCGGACACCTCACCATAAGTTACTTTGGAGTTGTTTTTGATTATCATTTCAATCGCAAAATATATATCATATAACAATTCTATATCGTTTATCTTTTCCCATACATTTGCAAATTTCGAGCCAAAGACGTTTGAACTATCAAATGGTCTGTAACTATACATTTTATGAATACATCACAAACTAAAGTAGTTAATTTCTTCATAAACGATGTGTATATAACACTCTATTTTACAGTGATCAGTTTTTGTTAACAATAAATATTCTGATTAAAACAACTCCATAGTATCCAGTGCATGGATAAATTTTGCAATGTGCAGACAAATCACCTGTCGCAATGATCGTTTATTCAATTACTAAAAGATATTGATGAGATGCAATTTAATGTCTCTTTCCTGTATCGCCATTTAAAAACAAGAGACCCAGAGGGCCTGTATCGCTCACCTGGAAATGTTAGCAAAAGGAAGTTGAAAAAGCCCGATGTTCCTGGAAGTGTATTACATGGTTAGTCAGGGGTTATATTTATATGCAATTGGACAAAATCCTGTCATTCCTACAGAAGAAGAAAGGATTTTGAAGTATTGGCTATGTTTTCCCTAATAAGCCCCGCCCCTCTGCCCCCGAGGGGTCAACCTCACCATTACATACAAAACCAATTTCCCTTCCCCATAGGATGCTACTGTTCAAATTTGGTCAAAATACCTTCATCCCAACAAAAGAAGAAGGATATTGAAGCTATTCCTCTATATCCCTATTGGGCCCCGCCTCTCTGCCCCGAGGGATCAGACCTATTGTTTATAAAGCATGTTTTCCTCATTTTCCCCAAGGGTGCTCCATACCAAATTTTGACAAAGCCTGTCATTCCAACAGAAGAAGAAGGGTTTTGAAGAATTTGCTTTGTTTCCCCTATTGGGCCCTGCCCCTATGCACCCCGGGGGCTCAGATCAACTGTTTATACAAAATTAAGTCCCCTTCACCCAAGGTGGCTTCAGACCAAATACGGACAAATCCCCGACATTCCTTCAAAATAAACAGAATTTGCTAAATTACCCTTATTGGGCCCCAACCCTAAGGACCCAGGGGGTCAGACCAACAGTTTATTCAATTTGGTTCCACTTCACCCAAGGGTGCTTCATACCAAATTTGGACAAAATCCTGTCATTCCTACAGAAGAAAGATTTTGAAGAAATGTCTATGTTTCCCCTATAGGGCCCCATTCCTCTGCCCCCGGGGAGGGGTGGGGAACACTCACTGTTCATACAAAATTGAGTCCCTTTTGCTCTAGGATGCTCCAGACCAAATTGGGATGAAATCCCTAACCGGGTAATCCCTATGGTAGAAGGAGGATTTTAAAGGTTTTACCTCTATTTCCTATTGCACCCCGCTCCTCTTACCCAGGGGAGCCACACCCACCGTTTATACAAAATTGAGTTCCCTTGGCCCAAGGATGCTCCAGGCTCAATTAGGATAATATCCCTTAATTCCTACGGCAGAAGAAAGATTTTAAAGGTTTTACCTCTATTTCCCCTATTCGACCCCTCCCCTCTGCCCCTAGGGAGGCCACACCAACCGTTTATACAAAATTGAGTTCCCTTGGTCCAAGGATGCTCCAAGCTAAATTAGGATGAAATCCCTTCATTCCTATGGTAGAAGAAGGATTTTAAAGGTTTAACCTTATTTCCCCTATTTGGCCCCACCCCTCCAACTCCAGGGGAGCCACACCAACCATATATACAAAATTTAGAGCGCTTGGCCCAAGGATGCCCCAAACTAAACTTAGTTAAAATCCACTGAGCCGTTCAGGACTAGTAGTGTCTTAAAGGAAAAGTTGACGGACAGACGACGGACGCTGCACAATGGCATAATTGAGCTCACTTGCT